CTCGGCCCCTGGCCAACACCTCGATCCTATAGTTGAACCCTCGGGGGCGCGGGCCGTCCGGGCCGTCAAGGCGCAAGGCTGCCAGGAAGCCCGCGGCGGTGAAGCGGCGCTGCGGCTTGCGCTGCAGCAGGCGCTCCACTAGGCGCCGCAGTGGCTTCCGAGCGCGAGGCAACCCGCCCCACCTGAAGCAAAGCACTCGACGCCCGTGTGATGTTCACGTACCAGGGGTACATGGTTTAGCTCTTAGATCAAAATTGTGATCCTGAGCATCGCGCTCAATCTGTTGCCTCTGAATGGCCTCTGCGTGGTCGTATGCTTGCCCAAGCCAAGGTAGCTGACCTCAACTGGAAAAGGGTTCTGAAGTACAATTCCAGCCTGGTGTGCTCTTAGACCCCGTTTGCATCCATCAAGCATCCAGCTGCTAGCAGCATCCTTGAGCAGCCATCATCGGCCATCAGCATCCAGACGCATGCATTAGCATCCATCAGCAGCGATGATCATCCAACGAAAGCCATCAGCAGCCATCAGCATCTATCAGATCCATCAGCCACCCATTGGCAGCAATCGGCATTTCGCAGCATCCCGCTGCCATCATCATCCAGCATTCACCATGTTGCACTGCGGCCAGCTCGCACTCCATCACCCTGGACCGTTCGACTGGCATCAGTCCACCACAGTCGGGATCAACAAGAGATCATAAGAGCTAAGCTGCCGTACAGCATCGAGTAGAGCACCACTCCCAAAGACCAGTTGTCCACCTCCAGCCCATAGCTGCCAAGAAAGACCTCCGGCGCTTTATAACCTGAGTCACTTGGGAAACACGACGCGAACGGGGTCAAGCGCCAAAATCGCCAAACGCAGAAACACATGTCATTGCTTTGCGCTGGGGCACTCAGCGTGCCAACCGACCTCGAAAGCTTGCGGTCCGGCCCCAAGAAGGTGGCCAGACCGAAATCCCCCAGCTTGCAACGGAAAGGAGGCTGCACCTCTGTGACGAGTATATTATCCTCCTGGACGCGGACGGGCTCTGGACGAAGCGCGACAAAGCGACAAAGCGACGCGCAAGTCCTTGATGTCACGGTGCACAATGCGCCGGGAGTGGAGGAACTGCAGGGCTGATGCCACCTCGCAAGCGCTGCAACAAGCAAAACGCGAGGGAAGGAAAAGGCTTGCATCGCCTGGCTCGCAACATGGGCGACATCCGCACAAGGGCAGCCATTGAAGGTGGCGATGTCGGCCAGGGACCCTTCCATGAGCTCCATGGTCAGCAACTCCTCAGGCAAAGGCCCTGAGGAAAGAAATGGTAAGAAGTACTCACGACCTTACCAAGTGCTATCTCAGGTTGCGGACCGTCTCCTGGCCCGACACCTCGACCAGCCCGTACTGCTGGAGCACGCAGGGGTGCGCGCACTCTGCCAGCAGCCGGCTTTCCCGGCGCAGCTGGCCGCCTCCGTTTGGCCAATTCAGTCGAGCCCTACTCCCTTGCCCCGTCCTGACTGCTTCGCATGAACCCGCATTTCTCTATTGCCTCGTCCATGCTACCATTTTCCCGTCCTGCTGCCACTTTGACGGCAATGCTCAGGCCACAGAAGCTGCCACGAAACACTTCGCCAAAGCCGCCCATGCCGATCCTGGCCAAAATGGACAGAGCTCCAAACGCAAGTTGCCCGCGCCTTTGTTCAAGCAGAGGCGTGGGTGCTGGCAGTGCCAAAGGCCTGGCTACAAGAACTCGCGAGCGGGTTGCAACAAAACCAATCGAGGTGGGCGTTGAGGGCCGATTGGGGCTTGGGTGGTTTCAGGCTGGCTTGGCTGGCTTGGACCAGCCAAAAGTCCTGCCCATCGATTGTGGACTAACATGACCAAACCCACCCGCCAACCGGCCGATCATGGCCAATCAAGCAACCAAACCACATTGTTTGCAAAATCAAAGCCAAGCAAAGCCAAGCAAAGCCAAGAAAGGCCAAGCAAGGCCAAGCAAGGCCAAGCAAAAAGCAACACAACACATTCCCTGCGAGTAACACGGGGGCCGCTACAAACAAAGGAAAAGCGTGAATGAAAGGTGTGATCGCGTCAGCCCTTTCACTATGCCTCGCAGCAGGCGCCACCTCTGCAATGTAGACGTCACCGAAGGCACCGCTGGCGATAGGCTGACCCAGGTGCAGAATGCGCAGCGTTTCCTCCTCCTTCGTGACACAGGGCATTCAGGCAGAAGACTTCAGGCGAAACCCTAAGGTGTCCCAAGGTTGGACACTCTTTTGACCGAAGTCCCAGACTTGGCACTGCTCACGCCATCCGATCATCCAGCCTTGCGGGCGTTGGCCTCTATGACCGCCTAAGATGCGCGAAGCAAACTTCAGTTTCAAGGAAGCCATGGTTGCATTCCGGACATGTGTGTTGCAAAAGCCATAGAAGCACGAAAGGTCTCGCCACATCCATTTCAGGTTTCCGTGTTGCCTATCAGGTTTGTGTGCACAAGCTGGTCCGGCTACTAGATTTCTGGTCTGATTGTGCATCTGCCGCTGGGAAAGCCAACGCAGCACAGCGCTCATGACAGCATTCAGCAACCCTAGACACGAGATCGCCCTTCTGAATTCCATTGGCATTAACGGGGCAAAGCAACCAAGTACAAGGCACAGCCAGCCTCTAGAAATCCAGCCCATATGACCCAATGATAGCCCCAGGTTGTGCCTTGCCTGGAGGGCAGGGCTGTTGGCGATTCCCAGCAGCGTCCAAGCCTCTGATTCCAGACTAGTCTGTCCGAACCGGACCATGGCCTACATGGCACATGGAAATTAAAGCGTGACCCTCAACATGACCCCTCACCAGAAACTGGAGATGGGCATGAGCCCGGTACGTGCCAATCCAGTGCCTCCATTTGGCTTTGAAGTGTCACACAGTCGCAAGAGAACAGCCCGGCAGAAGCAATATCTGTGGTGGTTGCAGCTATCACAACTAGCCTGTCCTGATGAACAATCGCCGTTGCAAACTGCGGAAAAACTAGCGTGCCAAAATGTGCCAAAGGAGGGCCTGCGGTAGGTTCGTCAGACGCAACTGGCAGGGAACATCGGTGATCTACGTGCGCCGCGTGGCTTTTTGAGCCGGACAAGCATAGACAGCGCCGTAGGGGCCGCTGCAGTTGAAGCAATCCCTTTTGCCTGGGCCACCCAGCGCCAAACTCCTTGTTCTTTCCATTCCTCGGCCGCGAGTTTGGGGGGCTGAGCGGAAAAAATGGCAAGCTAGGTGCCACCCATGGAAGCCAGTCTGCATTTGTGGTCCTGAAGTGAAGAAACACATGGTTAAGACTTGTGGGGGGTATGCCCTTGTTTGTGAAAGCCATGCAAGTCTGTTTTCCTCAACTGAATGGCTGCAACCAGCGAAGCCGACAGGGCCAGAATTCGGGCGCCTGGGCTCCCAGCTCCACCACAAGGCCCTGCCCGCAAGCTGACATCATGAAACGGGCGGAATAAAAGACGGGTGATTGGCTTGGTTCGAGGCCTGCCATGTTTGAAAAGGTAACTAGACAACGGGTTAAGCGTGCCAATTGTCTTGCCTTCAAGCGAATTCCGAATCAGAGAAAACCGGCTGAATGGTTGCCCATGCAGTTCAGCATGGTGTGAGAGCAGCATATGCAAATCAAAGTGCCCAACTGTGCACGACGGAGCGGACAGCTGCTGTGACTATGGAACAAAACTGGCCTCGAAGGGGTCGAATTGGCTTAGCTCGTGCCACAGGTTGGCCACCGAGGTCCACCAGTCCTAGGAGCAAATTGAAAGGATGTTAAAACTATGCAGCTTTCGTTCCATGCAGCAACATCACTCTGAGCAAAGGACTCTGGCAACATCACCTTTCAGGCTGGGCTCCCCTTGCCCGGTAGTTTTAGCAGAAGCCCCGCCCGCAGAATCAGTAAACTCAAACAGCACGCCCATGTGCGGTCGAGATCTACGGCAACCCAGCCTATAGAAAAGAGTTCTGCCAAGCAAGCGTCCATGGCAGGCAGCGGGCGCTGCGGATGCTAATTACCTGATTGGCTGGAACTTGAACCGGCAAGCAGCTGCAAACCAGCCGGGTCGTAAACGACGGAAAGCGCGAGCGGGCAGTAGCTCCGCTGTGAGTGGAATGCGATGTGAGAGCAAAGAACGAATGAAAAAACACAAAGCTGCTGTGCAAAACACCGTGCAGGCTCTGGCCTGTGTAATTGGCATGCTTGTTGGTTTGACGCTTGCGTTTTCCGAAAACCCGCTTTGCAAGGTGCTTCGCTTGTTCAAAAGCTATTTGACTGTAGTGCTCGCCCGGGCCGCACGCCCTCCCAAAGCTGATTCAGAGTTTGTGAAAGTTCACTATCCTATGTTTGCCCAACACTTTTTCTGATTCTGCTACATGCCCAAAAGAACGCATAGGGCAAGGCAACAGAAAACGCTTTCCTCTCTCCGCCCCTCACGCCCTCCCTGCTAAAGCTGCTCCATCGTAAAAAGCACAGTGTAGCAGGTCAAACAGCTTTCTCGGTCGTAAACGGATGGCCAGCTTTTCAGCCACTTCGGCGTTGAGCCGGCCGAGCAGCAAATCCGCTGGGTACTGTCAATGTATTTCTTGAACGGGGACTTTGCATTTGTCACTTTGCGCCCGGCCTGGCGGCGCCCCGCTGCACCTCGCAGACATGGCGACCCTCCTGTGGGCAAGGGCATGCGCGTGACATGCCCCGAAGCGATCCCGATTTAATGAACACGCCTCAAAATGAGAAACTGCGTTGGCCGTCTACGGGCACCGAAAAAGAACCGCCGTTCGGAAAACCTGAGAGGTGACTTCGAAGCTTTCAAGTCTGAAGTCAACCCGTTTCTGAGGTTTCTGGAACCGGTGGGGCAAGTAGACCGACCCGTGAAAGCCACTCCTTGCGCATCTTGACTCGCAGCACGCTCAGGCCACTTGGCCTAGACCATGTTCTCTTGCAAAGTCACGAGTGGCCGCATGGATTACAGGTCAGCATGGCTTGGAGGATGGCTAAGTGCCTCCTGCAAGTCCGCAAAACTGAACTCTCGAAGCACCTGAGCAAAGCTCTGAGGCTTCAATCAGCACATAAAATGCTATCTGCTATGCTCATGCTTCCCTGTGTGTGTGTGACAACATGTTGTAGGTGGCGCCTTCAGCGCGCGTTCCAGCTCAGCATCGGCCTCGCAAAACGAGTGGC